ACTTTTCAGCGGGGGGTGACACCAAAATGACTGCGAGTCACTTTGGTGTCACCCCTCCAATGGTGTCACCTGGGTGCGGGCCGCACCCCCCTTGTGACGCCGCTGTCCACGGGGAGAGAGGAGAGAACCGTGAACGAGGAGAGAGGGAGCAGAGCAGGGACTCCGTCCGTATCACCGCTGCGTGAGTGAGAGGTCCAAGCGGTGTGGAGGAGACTCGGCAGTGTTACATCTGGCTGGGCTGCTGTGGCCGTGGCTGCAGGTAGCAGTACTCGGTCTCTGTCAGGTCAGAATGGAGCGGTGTGCGGGAGCCGACAGGCGGCGGGCGGTCGAGTCGGTGGTAATGGTAGAGGATATCAAGAGTGAGAGAGCAACGCGTTTCGAGGAAGCACCTCTTTTTCAAGCTCAGAGAGAATGGTGTGCGGGAGCTTGAAAAAGAGGCGCTTCCTCGAAACGCGTTGCTCTCTCACTCTTGATATCCTCTACCATTACCACCGACTCGACCGCCTGTCGGCATCCCTCCACTGTTGCTACCACGGCTCCCGCACACCGCTCCATTCTGATCTGACAGAGACCGAGTACTGCTACCTACAGCCGCGGCCACAGCAGCCCAGCCAGATGCAACACTGCCGAGTCTCCTCCACACCGCTTATGGTGATACGGACGGAGTCCCTGCTCTGCTCCCTCTCTCCTCGTTCACAGTTCTCTCCTCTCTCCCCGTGGACGAACACTGTCGGGCAGGAGTCCAGCCAGATGCGGGCATGCACTCCGATCCTCCACACAGGCCGTCCCTCCTCTGGTCCCTGGACTTATATGTAAGTGTTTCCTCTTATGTTCTGCCAAGTTAGTTCCTTATTGCCTCTGCGCCCTTTTGTGTTCTTTTGTTGTTACAGTTACAGGTTCTCTTCCTGTTTCCCAGGGCTGCCGGTTAGTTATCCAATTTTTAGCTTCTCCATCCGAGAGCGCTGTTTGTGTTTTTTTCATGTTCAATCCTCTGACACTCACCAGGTGTACGATGACGACGGCCGGTACGTTTACCTTGTGACCGAGCTGATGAAAGGTGGCGAGCTGCTCGACCGGATACTGCGACAGAAGTTCTTCTCTGAGAGAGAGGCCAGCGCCGTTCTCTACACCATCACCAAGACTTTGGACTACCTGCACTGTCAAGGGGTGAGTGTGACACCCAGTTGCCATGTGTCACCCTGCAGTCATTTTTCACGCACTGGTGAGTTGAGCAGCTGAAGCGCGGTTCTCCAGCTCGGCCCAGAGTCGTGCAGGAGTTTGTGTTCTCCCGTTACCCTAAGGAGAACTATGGGGAAAAGACTTAACCTCATAGTTCTCCTTTAATCATAGAGAACCTGCCAAGACTAACATTTGGTAGATGCCATTGGTGACGTTTGTTGGCTGTCATCCTTATCCCTGTTGATCTACATCAAGGGTAACCAATCTCCGGCCCTTCAGCTGTGGGGTGGAACTACAAATCCCATGAGGCATTGCAAGATTCTCACAGCCACAGACATGAGATGCATCATGGGATTTGTAGTTTCACCCACAGCTGGAGGGCCGGAGTTTGGTTACCCCTGATCTACATAATGGTGGATGGGAGGCTCTGGGCCTTCTGGTATTTCACTTTCACTGTACGGAAGAAAGTCTCTTGCGCACAGTGCAGTGGCTCGCATCAGGAGCTTTCGTACACAAAGAGGTCTTGAGCAAGATCCAGGAATTAAAGCTCATCTCCGGGCAAATATTAACCCCCTCCCCTCTCTGACCCATCCGACACACAAGGTATACTCGCCTAAGTTCGCCATGCAGATCCCTGGCTGACCCTCTCTTCGGTTGTGGGAGGACTAGAGCTGCAGCTAACGATTATTTTCAAAATCGATTAGTTAGCCGATTATTAGGTTCGATTAATCGGTTAATCACACATGATCCAGCGGTGCAGATGTGCCCACACTGGCCAGTCCCCTCACGCCGATGGCACCACTGCGGACTCCTCTTCTAGATCCGAGAGGAGCCCGCTACTGGACAGCCAAGTGTCCACATCACTCAGGCAGTAATGTGGACACCTGGATAGGACCCCGCATGTCACGTGATCACAGATTTAGGAAAGTAAAGGGGGCTTTAACAGGACTGGAGGTGCTGTGGGGAGAAGATTGCGGACTCGGGACTTTGCAGGGATCAGGAGTAAGGTTGCTCCTTCTACCGAAGTAGACTTCAGAACCTGGCTGTGATCCCCCTTAAGCCTAGATGAAGGGGTTCTTTTACAAACCCCCTAGAAACACTTCGGCTGACTGGCTTACAAAATAAATAGGTTTACCTGGAGATGTGCTCTTGTCTCTTCCTGGCACTGCATAGTGAGTCACTGACCTGGAGGAAGCATGCTTCTGGTTGAGTGTGCTCTATATTTGTTGGCAGCTCCCGTAAACCCATCCTAGCAGGTTCTTGTAAGGAACAACCCTACCCAAAAGTTAAAATTCACCAGCGTGTGGATCCCGCCCCACTGACTCATAAGCTGTTTGTTTAGAATCCAGTCCAGCCCAACGTCTGAAGCCATTTCAGAACCAAATAATGGTGTCACCCTTCCCCAACTAATTATGGAGTTCTGTGGTAAGAATGATGGCGCCTTGTTCACTGTGCTCTGGGGGAAGTTCTTCTTTCTCGTCCATTGAAGGACACAGAAAGTCCTATACTTTCATGTTATACTGCCACCTGCAGGAGGATTGGACACTGGCAAACAGAAAATCTGTAGGCCAGCCCAGAATGACCCTTCCTCTACCCAGCATGTCTCGTTTATTTTGCTAGCGCCCAATATGGAGTGGATGGAGGAGCTCTGCTGGGAAAAGTCTAACCATTAGCTTCTTTTCTTCATTCAAGATTCATCATCACTAGTCTGCTGCTTGAGCTTGTATAGCACCTAACCCGATCAACCTTTTTCCACCATTGGACATAGAGAAAGCTTCTCCTCAACGCTGCTCCGGCCTGCAAGAGCCTTGTGGGACTTGGTCACTTCTGGCCATCTGACCCCCCACATGTGCTACCAGAAGTTGGATTTGTGAGAACCTGCGGCCTTAGCCAAAATGATTTGTCTGGCACAAAGGACCAGGTTGTCTCTTGCTTTGTGGTTCAGAAATCCGGCTCAGGATTCAGGGACGGGTTTCCTTCCTGTCTTTTGGAATATTCTCATGACTGATACCAGCATGCTGGAACAAATAGAAGTCCTTGGCACCTGGTTGGTGGAGTGGACTTTGATGTTGGAGGAAGCTCGTCTCCTGATAACATTCTGGAAACTCGGGCCACAAGGCTCTCGCTAAAGCTCTGGACAACCTGACAGGAGGGTTATCTAATTCAGATTCAGTCAGACAATACCATTGCAACCATTGCAAGACTATCAGGGAGCAACCAGAGGTCTTGCTACAGCAAGAGAGGTAGAGAGGATCTTCTTCAGGGCAGAACTTCAAGTTCCAGCCTTGGCCTCCATGTACATCCTAGGCTTAGACAATACGCAGGCAGACTATCCCAGTTGGCAGTATCTAGACCTGGGGGAGTGGCCCCTTCACTTGGGGGTGGTCCAGGACTTGTGTTGCACGTGGGTGATGCCAGATGTGGACTTCCTGGTTAAAAAACAAGCTGGACACGTTAGTTTTCAGGTACAGCGATCCTCTAGCTGAGGCAGTAGGTTTCTGGTGGCTCGGTGGGATCAATATACCCTGATCTATACCTTTCCTCCCCTGAAACTCCTTCCTTATTTGCTTGCAGGATCAAGATGGAGGACATTCTGGTGATACCCTCAAGGGTCTGGTCTCTGCTCTGGTCACCCTGTTCCAGAGACCATTGGCTTCCCATTCCCTTGTCGGGGCATTTCTTTAGGGTGTCTCCTATGTGTCTTCCCCTGGGACTCCATGAGAGCTTAATTTTGGTTTACTGATCTCTTCATAAAATGCCTTTTGAGCTCATCAAAGATATTCCCCTCTCCACGCTTACTTATAATGTGGTGTTTCTTCTTCTTCTTCATCATCTCTGCGAGGAAAGTGTCTGAGATGGAGGTGTTATCCTGGAAAGGATCCGTTCTGGTCTTACACAAGGATGAGGTGGTGTTCAGGCCCAGAACTTTCTTTTTAAGGTATTTCCCGCTTTTCACCTGAACCAGGACCTCATTCTTTCATCCCTTTGTCCGGCTCCATTTCATCAGAAGGAGATTTCCCTCCATTGCTGGTCCATCGTTTGGTCTGGAGGAGTTTATCTTCCAGCCACTTCTTCCTTCAGAAAGACTGACGCTCTCTTGTTGTCATTCTGGATGGTCGCCCTAAAGGAGAACCAGCTTCTTGTGCCACCATTTCTCTGTTGTTCAGGCAGACCATTATGCAAGCCTTGGGCCTTGAGTTTCGGGTTCCACCCTACCCATTAAGACCCATTCTACAAGATCTGTAAGTGCCTCTTGGGCTCTTTGGCCGGTCTTCTGTTCACACATTTTCCAGGTTCCACCAGGAGGATGATCTGGTGCTTCTGATGTCAGCTTCACGCATAAGGTCCTTTTAGGTGGCTCCTATTTCCGTTTTGTCTATTGGGCCTGTAAGCATTTTGTTTGCGCTGTTACGCGCCCCTCCATTGGACTGCTTTTAGTGGTCCCAAAGCTGAAGGCCTCCTATTCCCTCACTGGACAAAAAAGAAAATAGAATTTCTGTTCTCACCATAAAAACCTTTTCTTGGAGTCCATTGAGGGACACGGGTCCCACCCAGTGGCGTAACAATCACTATAGCGACCCAGGCGGCCGCTATGGGGCCCGGGGCACAGTGGGGCCCGGCCAGATGCCGTGCGGGCCGCCTGGGTCGCTATGGCATCCTCTGCTGGCGGCTGAAGAAGAACACGCCGCTGTTCAAATCACTGACCGTAATCTGTGCAGCGGCGCGTTCCTCTCCACAGAGTCAATAAGAGCCAGCAGTGGAGGAGGAGGCGGGGCCCGTGGTCAGCAGCAGGGGAGGAGGCGGGGACCTGGTGACGAAAAAGGAGGCGGACAGGTAAGGAGTTCGACCAGCCCACCAGAGGGTGACCCTGCAGAGCCCACCATAGAGAGTCTATGGTGGGCTCTGCAAGGGCTAGAAATCACGGGGCCCCATACAACATTTTGCTATGTGGCCCTGTGATTTCTAGTTACGCCCCTGGTCCCACCCCTCTGTGTTTATGATTATGTTCTCGGTATTACCTGCTAACAACCTGAGGCATGCTGGGTAGAGGAGGACATAACCTGGACTGGTCTGTAGTTCTTGTTATTTCTCTGGCAGTGTCCGATCCTCCTGTAGGTGGCAGTATAACCTGAAGGTGAATGATTCCTGTGTCCCTCCAGATACAGATAAATATCCAAGCCTTTGCCTAGTATAGAGAGGTAGAGAAGACAACATTGGAAGAGCCTTGTATCAGTGACCTTCCACCTTTCTGCTGCTGTCATTTGCATTGCCCAGATGATATCTTTTGGTGTTATTTCCTTCTATACATAAAGGAAATGTTTAGATGTCACTGGTCCCCCTGGAGATGTCCTTCTCATTATACTACACGGAAACTTTCTGCCGGTCCCATGCTGGCGTGGTCTGTAATTTATAGGATGCCCCCTATGTGACCGTCACTCCGTCCTCTGCCTATAACAGGTTCTCTTTGCTGTGACAGGTGGTCCATCGAGACCTGAAGCCCAGCAACATCCTCTACATGGACGACTCCAGCAACGCCGACTCCATCCGGATCTGTGACTTTGGGTTCGCCAAGCAGCTGAGAGGAGATAACGGACTGCTGCTGACTCCATGTTATACGGCCAACTTTGTGGCCCCTGAGGTGAGGAGAACCGGGATCTGATGTAGAAAAATGAGAAGGTGCAGGAATTGGGGGTGATCTGAGGGGTGAAGGGGCAGGAATTGGGGTGATCTGAGGGGGGAAGGGGCAGGAATTGGGGTGATCTGAGGGGGGAAGGGGCAGGAATTGGGGTGATCTGAGGGGGGAAGGGGCAGGAATTGGGGTGATCTGAGGGGGGAAGGGGCAGGAATTGGGGTGATCTGAGGGGGGAAGGGGCAGGAATTGGGGTGATCTGAGGGGGGAAGGGGCAGGAATTGGGGTGATCTGAGGGGGGAAGGGGCAGGAATTGGGGTGATCTGAGGGGGGAAGGGGCAGGAATTGGGGTGATCTGAGGGGGGAAGGGGCAGGAATTGGGGTGATCTGAGGGGGGAAGGGGCAGGAATTGGGGTGATCTGAGGGGGGAAGGGGCAGGAATTGGGGTGATCTGAGGGGGGAAGGGGCAGGAATTGGGGTGATCTGAGGGGGGAAGGGGCAGGAATTGGGGTGATCTGAGGGGGGAAGGGGCAGGAATTGGGGTGATCTGAGGGGGGAAGGGGCAGGAATTGGGGTGATCTGAGGGGGGAAGGGGCAGGAATTGGGGTGATCTGAGGGGGGAAGGGGCAGGAATTGGGGTGATCTGAGGGGGGAAGGGGCAGGAATTGGGGTGATCTGAGGGGGGAAGGGGCAGGAATTGGGGTGATCTGAGGGGGGAAGGGGCAGGAATTGGGGTGATCTGAGGGGGGAAGGGGCAGGAATTGGGGTGATCTGAGGGGGGAAGGGGCAGGAATTGGGGTGATCTGAGGGGGGAAGGGGCAGGAATTGGGGTGATCTGAGGGGGGAAGGGGCAGGAATTGGGGTGATCTGAGGGGGGAAGGGGCAGGAATTGGGGTGATCTGAGGGGGGAAGGGGCAGGAATTGGGGTGATCTGAGGGGGGAAGGGGCAGGAATTGGGGTGATCTGAGGGGGGAAGGGGCAGGAATTGGGGTGATCTGAGGGGGGAAGGGGCAGGAATTGGGGTGATCTGAGGGGGGAAGGGGCAGGAATTGGGGTGATCTGAGGGGGGAAGGGGCAGGAATTGGGGTGATCTGAGGGGGGAAGGGGCAGGAATTGGGGTGATCTGAGGGGGGAAGGGGCAGGAATTGGGGTGATCTGAGGGGGGAAGGGGCAGGAAT